AGACAGAGTCCAAACAGCCTAGAAACAAGCAAAGAAAGGAGCAAAGACTACGCAGGGAGAAGAAAGCATCAAAAAAATCCTAAAATATTAATATTCTCTAAGAAATAAGAGAGAGACTGCATCCACGAAACAAGCTATAAAAAGAACGTTCAATCCAGGTGATGGTTATATGGATGTTTACCATAAAATTCTTTCAACTTTTCTATATATTTGGAAACGTTCATAATAAAATATGGGAAAAAAGAACATTTAAAGAAAAAAAACACGTCTTGGGAATTAAAAATATAATAGGAGAAGTGAAACATTTCATAGAACAGTTGGGAGATGAAATTGAGGCAATCTTCCACAAAGTAGAGCAAAAAAGGCAGAGATGGAAAATAGAAGACGACTCTCCTAGCCTCTGGTGGCTGCTGGCGATCCTTGGTGTTCCTTGGCGTGTGGCTGCCCTCCAATCTCCGTCTCCATCTTTACGTGGCCTTTTCCTCTGTGTCTCTGTGTCTTGAATCTCCCTCTCCTTTCTCCTATAAGGCTACCTGTCATTGGATTTAGGGCCCACCCCTAAAGAGTGACGGAGGATAAGGTCTCCCACTGCTCCAGTGGGGTGTGTCCCCTCCCACATGCCACCCTCGGTCCCAAGTTCCCCAAAGAAACCTGGTAATGTAATCATAACCCCATGTGCCTTCTAATCCCACCCCCAGTCACTAGCTTGTGTGTCAATCTGGCCACGTCGCTGCACCTTCTGCTTCTTAGTTTCCTCTTAAGTAAAATAAAAGGATTGGATGGATTCATTTGTTCACTCCTCTGTTCATTCAAAAGCTGTTTATTGAGACCATGTGCCGTAAGTCCTGTGAATCAAGGGTGAACAAGACATAGTCCGTGCCTTCAAGGAGCTCAAGTTTTATAGAAGGAGATAGAATACGTGGTAAAAATGCAGCTAGAGTGGTACAGGGCGGGGGGGCTCTGAGGAGGGAGTGGCCAGGGCACCTGGGGGAAGGACTGAGAAAGGCTTCACAGGAGAGGTGACTCTTAAAGCTGTTGTTCTTGGTGATCCTTCCAGGTACAACAGGCTTTCCTTCTAGGGAAACAGATTTTGGGTCAAAATAAGGAATAATCTTCTAACAGAACTGTGCATAAAAGAACAGGCTTCAGTGGAAGGCCCTCTGTCAGGAGGAGCCTCTCGTGGGGCTGTGACAGGTGCAAGGATCCAAAGAGCCTCTGCAAAGGGTAACTATCAACAGGAGGACCAGTGTCCCTTTTTCCACATGAAGATAAACATGCAGATTTAATTCACACTTAGCTACATTGGGAGCAGCAGCTCTGGTGTGAACCTTTCACACCGAATCTGAGGTAAACCGCACACACAGACTCCCTGAGCCATCTGAGGCGACAAGTAAAAGGCAGGCAAAGCAAACAATTCAGGTGTCATAATTACTTTTATTCTTATCTCCCCTCAGTCAGGTGAGGCCAGGGAAGGGGGCAGGCGGGCCCCTGGGAAACTTGCAGGAGCTGAGGCTGGAAGGACTTGTGTCTCTGCCCTCAGACACTAGGGAGAAAGCTCTGGGGCCGGGTGGCACGGGAGTGGTTTCCAGCAGTCAGGTAAACAGTGTCCGAGAGATGTGACAGTGGTTGGGCTAAAGGGAACAGTCAGAGGCTGATGAAGAGGGAGGTCTGGGGAGGTCTGAGAGGAGCCGGGCCAGATCCTGCCCGCAACCTCAGGGCCCTCTGCTTCTCCCCTGCAGAACCGGGCCCTGCTTTTCCTCAGGCAGCCACCGAGGGGCAGCAAAGTGCCATTGAAATTCTAGCCCACCGCGAGAGCCGACAGGCCCTGGGACTTGTCTCCTAGTGGGCCAGGGAGGGAGAGGCGAGGCCTTTTGGAATAAGGGTGTCTGTCTGATCCTCATTCCCCTAGGAGGAAGAGCAGAGGATGGAAGAACCAAGATTCCTGGGGCTTCTCTAGGCGATCCAGGAGCTACACATGTACCTGAGAATTGGTGCGGAGTCTGGGGACTTGCATGTGCCTCCCTGGCCCCCAATCTACTAGAGAGGATCTCTGAATCTGTCTTCTCCTCAGCAGGAGACCTCTGACTTCACATTACAGATGGTCAGATTCCTGACTGCCTCTAGCTTTATAAAATCCAACCTACTTCTTCCCAGGCCCAGCCCCACCCCTGCCAAAAATGTGAGGGGCCAGCAGGATCCCCTCCTCCTCTACGGTTTATGGCACCTGCCCAGCTTCGGTTTCTCCGGTTTCTCCATTTCTCGTAATCCCGCATTCCTGTTCCCCCGCCCTTCCTCCTTCTAAGACCATCCAGGTGTTCCTAGGGCTCCTCACAGCCTCAATGCAGGTAGAACACAGGAGCTTCAGCCCTGGCTCTGCTGCCAGCTCAGCGTGTCCTGGACCCCTCTCAGGACCCAGAGTAGGAGACTCTGCACCATACTCTGCTTTGAGATGGCCCTGAGTTGCCCCTGTCACGCTGTTTGTTGCTGAGGGCCTGCCTCCTCCCTCAAGCTTTTGGAGCTCAGCATCAAATAAATCTCTCAATCTCCAGTTTCTGCATAAACTGTCCTGGGAAGAGAAGGACTTGGACAAGTGGACTGTGGGAAGCATGACCAAGACCCAGGCTGAGAGTAGCAGGGCAAGGGGTGGGGAGGTTAACCCGTAGAGCTGGGACCAGAGATTAGGAGAGGAACCTAGGGGACTTCAGAGGAGAGTGGCAATTGGATAAGGAAGTCAGTGGAAATCTCCCTGCGCCACCTTGGCCATGGCCTTCCATCTCTTTTTTTTTTTTTGTGAGGAAGATCGTCCCTGAGCTAACATCTGCCAATCCTTCTCTTTTTGCTGAGGAATACTGGCCCTGGGCTAACATCCACGCCCATCTTCCTCCACTTTATATGGGATGCCACCACAGCATGGCTTGACAAGCAGTGTGTCTGTGCACGCCTGGGATCTGAACCGGCGAACCCCGGGCCGCCGCAGTGGAGCGCGCGCACTTAACCGCTTGCGCCACCGGGCCAGCCCCAAGGCCTTCCATCTTGCTGATAGGAAAACTGAATCGCAGACAGCAAGACTCACTGAATACCGTGAGCCCATTGGCAGTGAGGCTGGGAATCAGAAACCAGGATCCTGCCTCCCAGCTTGTGTCTAGCAGGTAGAAACTACAGAGTGCAGAATCTGGTGGTGGTGGTCAGGGGGAGATGGAAAACCAGAGGTGGCACTGAGGACAACAAATCCCCAGAGACATTAGGGCCTGACCACCCCGTCTCATTCCAGCCCCCACCCAGTCTGTTCGCTGTACCACCTTAGACTTGTTACCAAGTCTCTCAATCACTTCAGCTTTTCCCTCTGCAATGGGGGTGTGCATAGTACTGCCTTTGTAGGGTTGGTGTAGTGATTAATTTAGCCCAGCACACAGCAGTCATCCCACCCATGTCCCCATTGCCTTTATCTCACACACAAACACCATCATCCATTCTTGGTAGAACAAAACTTCCAACGCTTCTGCAATGTTTCTTGAAAGCTGGAAAGAGGAAGGGTGGAGAGGGAGAGGTTGGGAACAGATAGATAACATACCTAGTCACTCTCCCCAGGGGCAAACAGAGCACCTAGCAGAGTGGGAGGGAGGCGAGCTCAGGAGGGAGCATCCACTCTGAACCTCCCTGATTCCACCCAGTAACTTTCTACCAGCCCGGAGTTGGCTGCCAGCACATGCTGGCTATACAGCTTCCCCCAGGTGTGGCCCCTGGTCCCCTCCCCAGTAGGGCCTGCAGGGGGCTGGGTGGCTGACGCATACCCTGCCTGAGATCTCAGCCGCCTGGAGGCTGATAAGGAGATCCGATCTCATCACATGGGACCAGCTGGAGGGACTGGCCCTGGCTGTTAGCATCAGCTGACCAGCTTCCAAATTGGAAAGATGTGGAGATAAAGAGTGGAGGGCGCTCAGGACTCTGGGCTGAGTGGCCAGAGAAGCTAGGGGAAGGGACATGGGCACTGCCAAGTGAGGCCTCAGGAGGCCTGGCTGGGGAGAAGCCAGCAAATGGCAACAGATGGGGAAGAGTTTAGAAAATAGGATGTTCAGAAAGGCCTTAGGGAAAGGCTGGGGGCAGGGCAGGATTCCTTCAGATGGGGCTAGAATAATCCTCTCTCTCTGAACATCCAGTCCTCTAGGGCCGAGGCACTCACTCAGTCTCAGGCCTTGGGAGCAGCCTCGGGGTTGAGGGAAGAGGGTGAGAGGATATAGGTCTTGGTCCTGCCAACCCCAAACACCTCTCAGGTGGATGCAGGGCTGGGGGAACTGGTGATCCTGCAGAGCCCAGACCTCCCAGTTGGCTGCTCTGCTCCCACCTTCCTTGGAGCCCCAGGACAGGTCCCCACTTTGGAGCAGGTCCTCCTGCCCTAACAGTGCTCTGTCATGACCCAGGAGGGTAAACCAAGGCAAGTGCAGATGGCACTGGCTTCCTGCTCCTCTCTCGTTGCCCTTGACCCCAGGGCTCAAGTGCCTAGAACAAGCCACTGGTCCCCGAGCTGAGAGAGAAGGGCAGCCTGGGACAGGCATACAGTTCACCCACATCCCCAACCTGCAGAGCACCCTCACGTCATCTCCCAGCTGTCCCCCAACCCCTTCCTTACAAACTGTCAATGCCTGACCTGGAAGGAAAGAGAGGAGGGGCAGACTGGACACAGGACAGTGTGCCCTAAGGTCACACAGCTCTGGCAGGCTTAGGAGGAATCATGGTGGGGGTGCAGACCTCAGCTAGGCTTCCTGGGGTCTCTTTCCCACATCTGAAATCCTGTTCAGCTCCTCCCACTCTCCTGCTGGGTCCTCAAACCCAGAGGAGCCTCCAGCCTTGACTGTCCCAGTTTGGGAGACGTAACTGGGGGGAAAGGGCAGCAGAGAGGATGGTATGACCTTGGTTCCACAGGGCCCCTGATGGCATGGGTACAAACAAACTGCAGAGGGTGAGGATGAGGGTCAGACTGAGAGGAGTGAGCGGGCTGGCCACAGGCTGGGCTGGCAGCTAGTTTTATATCTGGGCTTGCAGGAGCACAGGGAAGGTCAGAGGACCAGCAAGGGGGCATTCTCTGAAGGCAGGAGAGGGTGGGAAGGGCTCCTTATTCCCGGTTGGTGCCAAAAAGCTGCAGGAAGAAGGTGAAGATATAGATGATGTCTAGGTAAATGTTGAGGGCTCCAAAAATATACTCCTCAGGGCTCAGCGAGTGGCGTCGGTTACCCATCAGCAACTGGGTGTCAAATGCCAGGAACTGAGGGAAGGAGGGAGAGAGGGAAGTCAGAAGGTCCAGCCACTGTGACACTGACCGAGGGGGCCCACTGTCCCCACCCAGGCCCACCCCCAATTTCATTACCATCACCTGCTGCCTGGCTGCTCAGTGACCTACCTGTGACAGCTCAGAATCTGGAACTTTCCCAACACCTTCCATCCCAAATTCAACACCTCTTTACTGAGCACCCACGATGTGCCAGGCACAGGGATACAGCAAAGTACAAGACAGACAAGATCCCAGACCTTGTAGAGCTTATAGTCTAGCAGGGAGCTAAGCATTGGTATGATGCGTGTAACCAAAGAGAAATACGAAATGCCATGAGGGCTGGTAATAAGGAACCTGACCTAGGTGAGTGTGGCAGGCAGTTAAGGAAGGCTTCCTGGAGGAGGGGACGTAAAAGTTGAGACCTGGTCTTCTTGCCATTCCCTCAGGGCCCTGCTCTTAGAGGATAAACGCATCCTTCAGTGCTTCATGGAACAGTGAGCAGGGAACAGGCACTTGTTACGTGCTTTAGCCACTTAGTCTGATAACATCCCCACTGAGTAGAGATTCTATTATTCCTAGAGGAAACCAAGACCCAGAAATGTTAAGTACTTGCCCCCAAGGTTACACAGCTGGAAAGTGGCAAAGCCAGGATTTGAACCTGGACAGTTCGGCTTCAGATCCCCCACACTCAACCATTCTGCTCCACTGCTTATGGGCAGCCCCCAGGGTTAATGTGTCTCCTGCCAGAAAACAGGCTCTCCCCAGGGCGCCTTCTTGGCGAATGGACTATGAACAGTTATTCCCTCAGAGACAGCTCGTCTCTGCCACCCTGTTGCCCCCTACCAGGCCTTCCCACTGTCTACACCGACTCCTACTTCTCCCACTTAGCTTTTCTCTGGGGTCCAAGCATAGGGAGCAGAACCCCCGCTAGAAGTAGCATATGACCCTTGACAGGCATGGTGTAGTTTTCTGAGAGAAAGAAGCCAAAAAGTTCCACCAATGTCTCAAAGGCTACGAACCATTGGTCCACACGGGATTGGAATTCTTTAAATCAATTCACATTCTTGTTAACTGAGCTGTGCCCAGCTCCTCCGTCACTTGTGTGTGGAAGATCTGTGTTCCTTGGGTCCTCTGAAACATTCATTATACAATAAATACGTGTGGGGCCTGAGCTGGTGCCAGCGACGTGCTGAGAGCCGCAGAGACCACGAGGACCACCATGCTGGGCCTGCCTTCAGGGCTCCCCGCTTAGCAGGGGACACTTACAGATAATTACATTAAAACCTGGTAAACGACATCATAGGGTGGAGTGGTCAGGAGGAAGGTGGCCCAGGAGAGGTGACACTTTACCTGGGTCTTGAATTCAGGATGAGTAGGAGTTTGCTAGACTGAGAAGGCCTAGGGAAGCCCTGGAGGTGAGGGGCGTGGTGTGAAGAGTAAAGAATTCCGTGTAGCAGGAGCAGTGGGGCAAGGGGACGGAGGGAGAGGGGCTGGACCCCAGGGGGCCAGAGGCCCCAATAGGGAGCAACTCCAGCATGTGGGACAACAGGCATGTCACCCTCAAGGCTGGGGAGGTGGCAGTGATTACAAGTAGGGACTTGAAAGTCAGACCGACATGGATTCCAGTGTCAGCTCTGCTGCTCACTAGCTCCGGGACCCTGGTCAAGGTATTCAGTCTGAGCCTGCGAGTCCACAGCTGTAGGAGGGAGACGAGTGTGCCTGCCTCCTGAGGCTATTGTGAGAGTGAGACAGTGCACGAAAAGCCCCTGGCATGGGGCCTGACACACAGTAAACACTTAATGAATGGTAGCTATTAATGTGGTTTTATTGTTATTATCTGTAGGAGCGGTGCCCTCTTGAGAACGTGTGTACGCCACTGCGGAGACTCAGGTGTCTCCTGCAGCTCATCAAGGAGGCAGAAATGTTACGAGGGGAAGCTGTGTGGCCTTAACAGCAGGAAAATGGAGAGCCACAGCAGGGTTGGGGAAGGGTGCATAGAACACAGCACCAGAGTTAGAGCACCCGGGTTCGAGTGGTGGTTTCATCCCTCAGTAGCTATCACCCACTTGACCTCAGTGTCCTCATCTACAAAATGGGACAGTAACAATGACCACATCGTGGTGTGGATTTGAGGGTAAATATCTGGCAGTGTATGTGGCATCAGTTATTATTATTATTATTATTATTATTATTATTATTATTATTATTTTTGCAGGGGAAGATTCGCCCTGAACGAACATCTGTTGCCAATCTTCCTCCTTTTTTCTTCCCTTTCCCACCCCCACCCCAAAGCCAGCACATAGTTGTGTGTAGTTGTAAGTTCTTCTGGTTTTTCTATGTGAGCTGCTGCCACAGCATGGCTACTGACGGATGAGTGGTATGGTTCTGCTCCCGGGAACTGAACCTGGGCCGCCAAAGCAGAGTATGCCAAACATCAACCACTAGGCCATCAGGGCTGGCTCCCTATTATTATTCTTTAGTATCATTTCACTCCATTCTACTTTGCTCCTTCTGAATTTGATTTGGAGTCCCAAGTAAGTTTTCCTTCTGCAGAGAGAGAGCAAGGAGAGGGGCCGACTCAAATGCTACAGGCTGCTTAGCAGGCACAGCTGCCAGCATAAGTTAATAAATTGCCGATCTGGCTTATCAATCAGTAGCTTGCTTGGTTGATTTCCCAGAGCCTGGTCACCCCTGGGTGAGCTAATGACACTGAATCTCTCAAACTAGAAGGCTTGGACCTGACCAGGTCTGGGAGTGACCCCTCCAAGGAGCACCCACCCAGGAGGCCTCCTAAGGCAGCCAGCTGGCTTTTCTCTTGGAGAAAAGAGGAATGAAATGATTTCTGCCCCTGCTCTTGGCCTATGGCCATGGCTGCTTATCTATGTGGTGCTCTCTGGGATAGCCTGCCCCAAATTTCAATACCACTGCCGGGACCACCCATCACTGCAACCTCATGCCTGTGAGTCACCTGGAGTCTTTTCATCTACTTATTCCCAACCATATTCACTGAGCATCTACTACGGTCTATGTTGCCTTCAGAGACCTGAGAGTTAATGAGAGCAAAAGGTGTTATCAGAGATTGCATTATGAGCCTGCACTCATTATAGGGAAAAGTAACCCAATCATCCCCTTGGGTGATAGTAAGCATTGTTAACTAACATCTTGGGTGAATGCAGATATCTTGGTTATAGTTAACATCTTAATTGGCAGCTAAGATCTTAATTGAGAGCTAACAACTGGGTTGGCTGCTAACATCTAACAGGCCAGCAGGTACTTAGGCTGGTAGCCAGCTGAATACAAGACCATGCAGGAGGAGCATGTGGGATGGGGCAAGAGGCAGGAGTGGGACTAGGATGCTATTAACTTACATCTAAATAGTCCTTTCACACACTAATCCTTGATCTCATCTCACTTGCCCCATTTGCTCTAGGAGGTGGGTATTATATCACTATTTTACATATGAGGAAAGGAGTCTCAGAGCCATGAGTGACCTGCTGATGGTCATTCATCTAGTGCTGGAAGCAGAACACCTGTCTTCTATTCTGATAAGATGGAGTTGAGGGGGCTTGCAGGGAGGGAGGGCCATGCACAGAGGACAGAGGAGCCAAAGGCCAACTTTCCTGGGTCGCCCTATTAGTCAGGGCTGGACGTGGTCAGGGCCCCCTGGCCACACACTTGGCCTGACCCTGCTGTGTCCAGGACCTAGGATTATGTCTGTTGTCCTTCCAGAGACGAGGCTGAGAGGCTGTATGGGAGCCACAGCATGGAAAGGCCAGCTCAGAGCCACCAACAAACAGGCACTGCATACCAAAAGCTGGGGCTGCAAAGTGTTGACTCAGCATAAAACCTAACATGTGGATGGTGTCCATCCTACAGAAATGCCAGCATGAGTGTGCAAAGCAGCACTCCCAAGGCTGTTCACGGCAGCCTTGGTTCTAACAGTGAAACACTGGAAACAACCCTAAACTTTATCAACTAGGGGATGCCTAAATAAACTGAGGCGGAAACATCTCTGATATATGCTATTATGACAAAAAAGTAAGTTGCAGAAAAATCCATATCATATGATCCCCTTTATGTAACAAAAAAGCCTCACAAAACTAAATGTCCTAGGAGCCTATATAGCAAATATCTATAAAATGCATACAGAAAGGTCTGGAAGGAGAGACAATTGATCACAGCAGTTATCACTGGGGAAGGCAGTGAGGGACACAGTCAAATGACATTGGCTTTATCTATATTATTTAAGATTTAAGAAAATGAAATATATGAATAAATGCATTCATATGTTATTTAATTAGAAATTTAAAAAAGAAGGTTAAAGTAACACAAAAGAAGAGTTGGTGAACTCTTTCATTAAATTCTCACCACAGGCCTCTGTGACAGGTGTGGTGTTATCGTCTCCAGCACGTAGCTGAGGAGACTGAGGCACAGCGAGTATAAATGAGCCGCCCACTTCACACAGCTAAGAGGACAGCTCAGGTCTCTGACCCCAAATCCCATTCTTCTTCCACCATGTGACACTGCTTTGGGCATGGTGTGTGGGGGTGTGTGTGTGTAAGGATGGAAGAGGTGGGAAGAGAAGCACAGACGGAGCTCATGGCCAAGAGCACCACAGACTTCCTGGGGGGAATGCAGAGAGTCTGGCCCTGCCACCGCTTTCTGGGCTAGAGGGTGAGCCCGGGCTTTGGGGATTCTGTAGAATCCGGAAGCCTTTGTGCCCTCAGTTGGGATGCAGGACAGGCAGTGGGCAAGTGGATGAGATGCGCTGAGTGGAGACCTGGGGTCATTTGTTGCCTGGCGCCAAAAGAAGATACTTCTCTTGTCTTCATTGACCTGGGTGTCAAAAGTTTAAATGGCACAAAGTCTGCACGCAGCGCTGGCTCCTGGGAGCACCTCCAGGCCGTCACCAAAGGAACCGGGTCTGGCAGGGATGCGAGCCAGGAAGCCTGGCCCAGGATGAAAAGGGAACAGTGCAGGAAAGTACGTAGAAC